TTACTCTTTAAAAAAGGTCTGTCTCTGTAGGGATCCTTTTCCAAATCCAAAAAATGTTGTTCCAAATAGTCAGACATAAAAAACATAGGAAAATAGTGTCCAGGTTGAAAAATACCCACTAAGCTTTTAAAATGACCAAAGATGGGGTAAAAAAATAAAAATAAAGCATTTTTACTGTTAAAAACACAGGGCTCAAATTCTGCTTCAACTTGTGTTGCAAACCTCAAATCCAAAAACAAGCTGGACTGAGGCTCCTCGGGTAATGATGCTGTGACACGCATGGTTGACAAACAGGAAGTCCATGACAGCCAGCAGTCCCATGAGAGCTGCAGGAAATAAAGAACATTCAATTACACTTCAGTGAGGGGGTTGCAGTAACTACCTATAGAAGCCCGGTTTTGGATCCTAGTTTTTGCCCCAAATACACTTTCACTTCTTTTCTACGTTTTCTGGAGGATATATATTTTAAAACTTTAATAACTCCTGGGCCTGATTCTGGAAACCAAACTGAACTGAATTTAAATACAGTAGGTTGGATATAATCAGAGGGTCACTTGGATTGCTACAAACTTTAGAAAATTTTGATATAGTCCGTTAACATCAACCATTCTGGTGCTCTCTGATGCACCTGGCCTCATGTGCAGACAGCAATGATTTGCATAGTTTCATGTAGCCTTAAGACAAGTTTCACAAGTAGAATCAATAGAACAGAAAGAAGTCAAAGATTTAAAAAAAATGCTACCACAGAAGGGTGGGAAGAATGACGTGGCTGATAAGAGGTACTTACATAATACTCTCAAGTGAAAAATACAAGATATGTTTGGACTCCGCTCCATCTGACAGAAAAAAAAGATTTGAAAGTCGCAGTTAAAAAAACATTATTTACACGTTACTTATGACATGCACACTCATATACACCTACTTAATCATTGAATCATAAACTGTGAACCTGAATGAAACCTGTAACATGTTCCTGCTCCTGACTGCAGTCCAGTAATAACTGTCTGGTAAAGCTTATTGCACTGACAACATCCTCTCCATCTCCATCCAAGCAATATTTTTCCATTTCAATCAAATAGTTTATGTTGGAAATCAAAGAATAGTACAGTAAAAGGTCTTCACACTAAATCTGAAACTGAAAATGTCAAATGACAATGTTTGTTCAACTCTGGTATGCAACCTTGGCCACACACCATCTGTCCTATCCTTTGTCCCATGTTTCCTTTCTACCTTTAAACCATGTCCTATATGGACAGTATTCTATGTACTAAAGTAAGACGAGGAAGCTGTTTCTCTCTCATCACTCACAAAGTCCACCCGGTCCTCAGCCAGCCAGTGGAAGCACTTAAGGAAGAGCAGGAGGGTGAAGAGGGCGACAAAGCGAGGGGAGAAGTCATCCCTAAACACAGTGAATGCCAGGCATGTCTCTGTCACTGCGTACCAGGAGCGCTCGATGAGATGCTGATGGCACAGAGGAAAGACACGTGAACGCACATAAACAAAGAGGCTCATTAGATACATTGTCATTTACAACTGAGCCCATCGATATAAACAGAACTCTACCTCCATTTCTGCAGCCCTTAGCTGTCCGAAAAAGACCTTCCGCATGAACTTTCCCAGCAGAAACACCAAAACAAAGGCCTGGATGTACAACACCTGATGGCAGAAAAGCTAATATGTCACAATGCCGCTGCTATGGCTTAAATTAAAAGAGATTTCATATGGGAAAAATATTCAAAATTATTCAAACCAAACTCAAGATCTGACTTCACTTCAGCACTGCTCTTACCGCCATGCTGGGGCTGCTCTTGGTGAGGTAGACCACAGTTGGGTAGAACTGGTGTTTGAGCAAGTAAGCATGTGCCACCACAGCCCCAGTCAGTGCCAGACTGGTGGCTGTCACCAAGGCTGCTCGTACCATTTTGGACGCCGCTACAGATACTAGGGGGTGGGGGAGGGGGACAGATGAAGGGAGAAAAGAAGAAGGTTGTTGAATTAAAAAGCTGGGTGATGTAGCAGAGCAATAGGCAAGTAAAGGGCAGCACTTTGCTGGAAAGTGATCTTTTGGTCAGATATCTCTCTGCTATGTTCATTTTACTCAGGCGGATATGTCTGAGTAAAAGTGTGAAGTTCCCCTGAATAAATAAAGGTTAAAAATATATAAACAAACAACATTTTTTTTTTTATACGTACAGCAATACAACTACATTTTTTAAACGATCTATTAACATCCATTTAAAATATGTGGGTGCAGAACCTTGACTGCCTGTCACTCATCCATAATGAGATATCTACTCTGCAAACTACATGGTCATAAATAATAGCTTCTGAAAAAAATCATTCCACCCCATCCACCCAGGCCAAACTCTTTTTGGAGGTTAAAGCATACTGATAGTCGGGAGGTTTATGGAGGCTCAGGATACAGCCACGCTGATTCTTTGTTTGTATTCCTCTATGTTTGTTTGTAATTGATGTTTAAAAAAGGAGTGTCTGTTTGCTGTAAGCAGCTAACAACGTCCTTGTCTCCCTCAAAGTTTTTGGCACAGATTGCAGCGCTATCACTAAATGAGACATGCATTTCAGGGTTATCATCTGTTTAGAATCCAACCACATCTCAAGGTTTTTTGTTACCGCTCATGTTGCTGCTTTCCAACAAGCAGGTTATGCATTAACTGAGTTAAAGGATGCTAAAAGACAACACCAAACCCAGCTACAGCCTGTTCTCCCTGCTTCCATCTGGCAAGAGAAGTTTCTGCTGTAGTCTCACCAATACAATTTGGCATTTTTAAAAAATGAAACTGTTTGGACAATTTCTAGACCTACACAGCTTAGTCCATGTAGGTATCATGTCCCATATCTCAGACAGCACCGATGTTTGTTACTGATTGGGGTAGAATATTTGTGGTGGCCAGGATGGGTTTTACTTTACCGCTGCCCTGTGTTTCAAATGAACAGTGTCAGGATTTCCTCCAGGGTTTATCATAAACCACACTTGTTCTCAGGTGTTAACTACACATGGTTCAGTAACAAAGAGCCTTTAGGGCTGTTTGAGTAAGTTCACCGGTCAACATGTCTCAACTCTTACAAATAACCCTTTAAAATTAGCATCCTGATGAGCACATTCAGTAATGAGACTTCAAGGGAAAATATATCTTTGTACAATATTTTGCTAAAGTGACCATTTTTGCTAAAGTGACCATTTTTGCTAAAATAACTGGCAAAGGCTAAAATTGATGCAGCATTAACTTTCAATAAACCTCCAAGTCGCTGAAGTATTAAGTGGATCCGGTTAGTTATTTTTCTTAGGCCAGATAACAGAACACAATGCATCATAATGGTTAACTGTTCAAAATGAAACCAGTGCTTGTTTGGTTTTATTTCCTCCTGCATAAATGCTAAGCAGTAAAGTGCACTTGGTTAGCATTGTGTGCACTTCCACTAATTGAGGCTACAGCACCTATCCCTCCTATTTCTCACATTAAAAGCAACCCAATAAACTGGCCAACCTATTTTCTCCGCTTATGTTCAGTAAACGCCAACATATGCCTTCCTGGAAAATCCATTTCAGCTAACGCAGCTCGCTCAACATTCAAGCTAATGTGGTAAAATTAAGTCTCGAACAGAACCTTGTGAGAGATTTCCAGGAAAGAGAGAAACTTAAGCAAGTGAGCTAGTTACATACTTCTCGAAAAGCTGAATATATATATATTTGTTCTAAGTAGTAGCGTTACTTTACTCCAGACACTATCTGACTGTCAGAGACAGGTAACCATAATTAGGTTAGTTAGCTGGAGGTGGCTAACGCTAGCTAGCTAGCTGCTAACGTTACAGCTGTCAGTACTCTGCAGGACTCACCGACTCAATGTCTGCTGAAGCCTTGCTCCTTGGTTAATTTACGGATGCCTGCTAAAATCTCTTTATTCTTACCAGCTACTCCATGTCGATCGTTCCACACTACCCTCTCTATAATATTTATTATCCTCGCCCCTATTCGTCTGGCTACGTGTTTATCTTTGGCTTGCTTCTTGGGAGCCACCTCACATCCGGCTGCTAAGGTAATCTGACGCAAGAGTAATTTCAGGCATCACTGACATGGTAACTATTTTCTGTTACTTGGTGTCAAAATCTGTTAGAAAGGGACTTTTTCTTTAAAATCTAGCAAAGACTTAATATTTGCCTTCTTTTCTCTGTTGTTTTTGTGAATGTGGTTGCATTTGTAAATGTTCGGTGACCCACCTTTAAGACATTTACGGTAATACTAACGTGGACCAATGGGAAGTAGTCTGTTGTTTGATAGATTATGTATATACCATTGGATTTAATATCTGCTGGGTTAAGGTTTTATCAGTTTTTCACAAGGCCGGTTTCCAGGGGCCAGGGTATTTATTAAACCATCAGTATGCCTTAATTTAGCAAATCTAGAAGAAAATGTGAATAGAAACGTTGACATTCTTGAAGATGTTTCACCTATCAACAGGCTTCTTCAGTTAACCCGAGCTCCGTATGTGACTTTCTGAAACACACACTTGTCACATTATCATTATGCTTGGATTAGGATAACATCTTAATTAAAATAAGTAAAAAAGAAAACATCCATTTGAATGAATTTCACATCACAACCAATAACATTTTACTTTTATTGGTTGAATATCATAAAGAACACTATTATTGTGAGCCACATTAGATTTATTGACACCACTGTCCTTTTTTTGCTATGGTGCTTTTATGGGTTTACCATGGCAACTGAAGACTTTTTTCAGTAGGATCACTGTTATTAGATGTTAAAAATCAAACAGCTAGTCAAACAAGATGTGTTGGAAATCTATAATCAGCATTTCATTAACAGAATCAATCTCTTGTGTACATCTGTACACATGCATGGCCATTGTTGTTACTGTCCATCCATCTTGAACATGTTTCACGTATGATAGGATATAATTTCTGCTCGTTTGCATCCTGCCAAAAATCGCTAAACCATAAAAGAGCAGACAGACCATATGAACAATCATTGTTACCAAATAACATGTTTATTTCATTGAGCTAATGAAGTCAATTAACATAATGCCTTGGTACCCCCGCCAAAATTTAATATGCCTTCAAAAAAAAAAAAAAAAAAATTCCATGAGTGCACAATATTGTTAATACAGTGAGTATTGAAAATACAGTCACTCTTCCTTGAACTCGAGAGTACAAACAAGAATCAATAATGATGATGTCCATTGTCTGATTATATCATAAATGACTACTTCTATTGCAATAGATGTAACATTCACAATGTTGTTAGCTTATGGCATGTTAAACTTGTTCAGTGATTGATCTCCCATATCGAAAACGATCAGGTTGGCATACGTAACCTTCTCTTAAAGGCAGTAGCTCAGTGTTCATTTCTAGCAGTACAGACTATAAAAAGAAAGCATGTTATATCTGAGCCTAATGGTAAACATTATCGTGTCTATATCTTAATTGTAAATATCTGACATTGAGACAACAATGTACGAAAAGTGTTCAGTAAAATTCCAATTTGTCTGTCTGACGTAAGGCAGAGTAGTGAAACTGTTCTGCTTCGTTAAAAACTACACATACAGAGAAATAAAAACATTTAAGAAAACAAAACTTGATGCAAAAATTAGATTCAAACTTGACAATGGAGCCCTCACTTCTTGCAGGTGTTGTTGCATTGTCGAGCAGTAGTTTGTCCGTGTCGTTACTGCTACTTGGGCATTCCTTGTTCCTCTCTTCCTCCACGCATTTGCTTTTAACGTTACTCTGTTTCAACAACTGAATCCGGCTGCTGCTGTTGCTGAATTTCCAGCCAGAGTTCAACATCCCTTCCCAAAGTTAAGTGTAAACAGTTCAGCCTTTAAGACCACCTTAAATTATAAATCACTGGAGGGGGGAGTAAAGAATGTTAAAAAGAAAAACAAAAAGTAAGACCTCCCAAGCTCCAACAAGTCCCATCATTAGGACACGGAGGAGATTGGGTTGAGAGGTGAACCCATTTGTGTTAGCACCTTGTCCAGCCACTGGAGGGGCCCATGCAGGTGCACCTCAATCCAGCAGGGGGTGCTAGTGACGTCCTGTCGGTGATACTCTGCTCCCCAGCCCTATGGAGGAGGCAGAAAGAGTTAACAGTGATGCAGACACTGCTGATGTTTGCCTCTTGTTAAAAGAAAGGATGAGAAATGTCTAACTGTGCCTGCTTTATGTTCTCCCCTGTCTTCTATTTACTTACCTTGACAAAGCTCATCCTAATGGTACACATCTTGGTAAGCTCATAGACCGCCTCAAAGCCGTGGTTGACTGACTGGGCCAGAAGCTGAGCAAACTCCTGGTTGTTGAAAATCTTGAGGCTACATCCGCTTGGGATCTTGCAGACAGTAGTGGGATGGAAGCCGTGGTGGTAATTACAGTTACGGCTCTGGACAAAAATACTAGTGTCACTGAGGCACTCTGCGTACACCTCCCCTCCCACATAGTACAGGTGCACTCCTGGTTAACAGAGACAAGACAACAGACTGTCAGGACATTTAAACCACAGTGCAGCAGGAACAAAATTTATACCAAAACACCTCTTCTGCTGCGTGGGACTGTTCGCCGTACCTTTGCCGATGTGTCTGCGGGTGTTCTCGATTGTCGAGTTGCGGTTGACGTTGGACAGCAGCCCGAGGCAGAAGCGGTTCTTGTTGTTCGAAGGGTCAGTGAAGCCATCTACCAGCACACTGGTTGACGAGGCATGGTAAGCCTCACCTACACGATTGTTGAGTTCATAGTAGACGATAGAGCACCAGTGGCTCGGTTCCTCATACTCCACTGGTTGCACATCTGGGAAATTGCGCAACAGGTCAGGCAAAACCAGGTGAGCCATAAAGTTAGCTGAAGACATCTTCCCACACACAAAAATAATTTAGAAGGCATAAGACATTGATTAAAGCAATAAATAATAAAACAATATGTTTTCAGTTACAAAGTTGTACTGTGAGGAGTCTCACTGCTGTATATAAATCTGTCACTATGTCTCTATTACTAGTGCCCAAATGTCTTCAATTCCCATTATGACAAAAACAGAAATTCTTCAAAATTCTAACTAACTGAACATAAAAATCATACAGCATACTGGTATATTAACAATTACAAAAGCCCTTTGGGACAGGACTCATTAATCAGGGATCAACTGGATGTGTGTGACCTCTGATATATAGCAATTGTAAGTCACTTTGGATAAAAGCGTCAGCTAAATGACTAAATGTAAATGTGTAGGTCATGAGCCTTCAGAGCGAAGCGATAACAATACATTTCCCAGCCGTTCACATATCAAATCAGTTCTATGGAGGCAGTCCACCCCGCAGTCTGGATAGAAATCTTACTAGTTTACATTACACAGGTCTAGCTAGTCTGGCCTTGGAAGCGGTATTTCCGAACAGCATTTATTTTCTTCTTTGTAAATACAGGCTTCCAATTAGGACTGAATGTTGGATTCAAACACATCTAAAACTGCGGTTAAGACTGGGCAATAAATGTGATGAGGACATTCTTATCCCTACAAACTTTTAGACATGGACCGCGTGTTCTTACAGACAAAGGCACATAGCAAAAAAAAAAGAAAAGAAAAAAAGAAAATAGATGGCTCTCTCGCTCATTTCAACAACACAAAAAGCTGTTCCTTGCTTTCCTCTGGCCTGGAAAAGGGTCCACTGCAGTACAAGTTTTGTGCCTTCCACCACAGCATCCTTAAACAAAGCTCCCCAGCGGTAACTATTGTGTGTGCTGCATTTGCTTTATGCTTACTGTATGTGTGTGTTTGCTTGTGAGGCCGTGTACAAAATGAAGACAAACCTCCCCTGTGGACAATAAAGACTATCTATGCATTGTCAAGTGGAGTGCATTTCATTCAGTTGCACAAATAAATGTCGAGACAGAGTAGAAACTTTTTACTGCAATTTTCTAGGGCTGCCCCTTTATAGTCGACTAAACTGTTTAAGAGTCAATCATCTTGTCATTAGTGGGTCAAACACCATTCGGGAGCTGCACCCTGTCAGATGAAGGATCAGCTCTAATTAGCGGTCTTATTGGCTGGCTCTACACACCTACCACAGGAGCTTTGGACAGCCGGGAGGCCAGTTTGATGGCAGGAAATGCAGTACTGAGGTGATTTACAGGACTACTAGTCTAATCGCGTTCTCAGCGGTGTGTAACGTTAACTGCTATGCCACGTCTTGGATTTTCATAAGACTTCAAACAGTATGTCTGTGAAGGTTTTCAGTCATCTAGGTCATAGTTATCCAAAGAAGGTTAAAGTGAACGTAACGTTCTTTTGGATTCAAACAGTATCTGTATTTCTTTTAGTCAGTCTAAATGTGTGCACCCCTCACCTCCTCTGGCCATGTTCTGCGGCACCACGCTGCTGCTCGTTTCCATGGACTGGCTCTCCTGGCCCAGCTGCTCGTCAGGGGGCATGTAGGCTGGGGGTGGGGTGTCAGCTGAGACATTAAGAGAGCAGTTAGAGAGGATGAGACCAGTTGTTGCTGCAGGCAAATAATCGCACACACACATTCATCACAGGATCTGTACCCCGGAAATGGTGTCAGATTTCACATATCCCTCACTTGCTAACCCACATGCTAACCCATTCCCGACAGAGATGCAATATGAGCTTTCCAAGCACACAGAAAAAACAATGCGAAAAACCTCCAGTTAAACTGCAGTGAGGAAATGTCGACGATTATGATGCTTCTGAGTGTAGACTACGACGATTAGGGCTTTTCAGCACAAATGGGAGCTCAAATCCTAAATTGCCATTAAAAACTTTTTCCTGCCCGACTGCCTGCAGCCATCTGATGCGTCAGCAGATCTGGACTGGAGCAGAATAGAGCACTAGTCACCAGACACACACATCAGCAGTAACATCCGCACACACACTGAAATGAGAGAATAATCCAAATTGTCAAATGTCATTTCTCCAGTATACCAAGGCTACTGAAAAGGACAGAAAGGAATGTCTCCTTTGGGTGATATTTCTTCACATTACATGCATCTGATATAATGGGACAGAAAGGCTGCCTGGTCCACTTAGTTAGTGCCCTTACAGCAGCCAGCAGCCCTGGCTCTGGTGGACACTGCTTAGCTGGCATTTCCTTTGTTCTCATTTAGGCGTGTAGCGTGATTTGGATGAACGTAATAACTTGACCTGGTTAGAGTACTGTAAAGAACAGCACTCAGTGCATAGTGAAGAAGTGCATGGGTTTTAAACTTGTAGTAGGTATAAAGATGGAACTGTATGATATTCGGGTAAACCCTAGACTAGTTTTGTAAATGAAACAAATATTAAAATAGATTAATCTGAGCTTTGGTAAATGTCTGCTGTCGCTTGATTGTAAACACCCCAATATAAAATGTTCCTACTAGCGTTTATTAACAGCTAGCCTCTTGTTGGCCATGTGACAGAAAAATACAATAATTAGGCATCTTGCCTAGGGTCAGGTACACGAGTATATTTGGCATACCTGGGAGCTGGAATGGACTGGAGGGCCCCGAGCTGGCAGGAGAGTTTGGGTAAGTACCACTGCTGGCTGGAGAAGGAGGATACGGAGAGTTGGGAGAGATGGGAAAAGAACCGCCTCCACCTCCTCCGCTGCTGCTTCCGCCCCCGCTGTGAGGCTGCTGGAAGGACTCCGGAAAGGTGGCGTTCAGGGGCATGTGCGGCTCATTGTGGGTGAGATTGCGGAATTGTACCAGCAGACTGTGCTGTGGGTTGAACTCACTATGCCGCGGTACCAGGACAGGAGGGAGCACTGGATGGTGGAACAAAGAAGGCAGGGGAGGAAAATGAGTTAAATTAAGGACAGTCAGGGGAAGAAAGGTCTTTTCTCATCATTTAGAAAGCTAACGGTCATTATATGCAAGGAGCTCATGTCTACTGCACACATCTTTAACCTGAAAACCTTTTGATGTATGGTTTTTACCGTGCTTAAAGGTTTTTCCTTGTTAATAATGTATCCTTTTCCATTATCAACACGGAAATGCAGCCAATGTTTGAAAGAGAAGCCTCGATGCGCACACTCCCGGAAAAGTAGCTGTGGTGCACACCCACATATAACACGAGGGCTGCAACTACCAATTATTTTCTCGTGTCATCATTTGACCCATAAAATGGCAGAAAATGAAAGTGAAAATTTCCCTGAAGTCTTATTTCATTCAACCAACAATAAAAAAAACAAAAACAAAGTTATTACATTTAAAAAACACAGACCAAGATCAAATCGGAGAAGCTAAAACCAGACACTGGAGTTTTTGCTTGATGAATTACTTAATGAATCAATTAATTTTCCATCGATTTACTGATAGGTTAATTCTTTGGCTCTACAACACACAAACAAATCACTGTAGGGCCAAAATATGTTAATATGTGTGACAGTGTTGTAGCCTTTTTGGATATGGTGTTCTTGATATTAATATGATAGACATGGTATTTTTATTACTTTTGTTTCCCCAGCCTTGATTTTCCATCTCCTGACTTTAAACGTCATGACTCCAAGGCTGTCACTCCAAAGCTTTGCTTTAAACGATATGACACGCAGTCTCTCCTGACCGACATGTGATCCATATCCTTCAACTGGTCAATACAGAGCTGGGAATCCCAAGTCAACCCAGCGTCAGAAAGGCTGTCCCCTCAGTGTCATCTATCAGTGGATGTGACTGACAGAGAGGTGGGGGTAGTAGTGATGAGAAAGTGCTGTGGAGTTTAGTCTGAGTGGTTTATGCATTTAGCAAGCTACTCTTTGGTGCCACACCCTATCTGGAGTGCTTGAGGCATATAATCTAATAAGACTCCAAAAGAGCTAGTGATATTGATTTTCTGTGAAATGGAGGGGGTGGGTAGAACAGGCCTGTGTGATGACAGCCTCCTGACCTTTGTGGATTTGTTTTCCAGCTCCACAGTTTATGCAGAGCTCTAGCTAAGAGATGTGCAGAGCTCCACTCGGGTCTAATCTGTCTCATATTTGCTGTTATCCAGTAATTTACCCTCCCCACCGTTTCAGTTATGCGTTACAAACAGATTGGCAAGTTATCCATTTAAATACGACAAATAACGTTGAACATTAAACTTTCCGTATAACATCCCCCCCCAGTCAGGTCGATGTTCTTTGACTAAGCTATTCGGGGACAACATGAGTACCTACCAGGACTCTCCACTCGCTTGTAGTGATATGGGTTGATGCAGACCTCCTTCTGTTTGGAGCCAAACGGGTACTCGCACACCTCCAGGGGCTTGAGCTCGTGGTGGGACTGCAGGTCTGGCCAGCGCCACACTCTGCAGTAGATTACGTGAGGCAGACCTTTCCTGTGGGAAACCTGTAGCCGGCCGTCCAGTGATCTTGGAATGGTAACGCACTTGCTGGGCTGCCCGGGGCAGCTCAGAGCTTTCTCCAGGTCCTCCATGGCGCCTTTCTTCTTCTTCAGCTTTTTCACGAGCGCATCCACTGCCTTTTCTGCCCATTTCTCCTCCTCGTCTCCCTGCTTCCAGCCAAGCAGGCGTTTGACTGCTGGACTTGTGAAGGAGAAGAGACTGGACATGGAGGTCATGCTGGAGGCTGTAGTGTAGGTAGAAAAGGGAGGATTCGCTCCAGGGGGGACCAAGGTGGTCTACAAGTCCCCTGCTGAGGATATCCAACTAGCGTTAGTTGCCTAAGTGTGTGGTCAACAAGAGAAACCACTTCAGTGTGTGTGAATGTGTCAGAGTATGAGAGGCCAACAGAGATGAGGGGTGGGGTAGTGGAGAGGGGACTTTAGCCTTGTCTGACCAAGGACAGGAAGCAGGGGAGGGAGGGAGTCAGCAAGCAGGACGCAGCTGCTGCTGCTCAGGAAGGGCCCTGCAGCAAGCTGTCCGAAGCTGGGTCACCACCACTGATGGAGGGAGGGAGGGAGGGGGAGGGGGGGCTGCAGGAGCTGGGATCAGGACCTCTGTCGAACTGATGTGGTGCAGCAGGTCTCACCAGTACAAGTTGACAGGCTAAATAAGGAAGTGACTTCTTCTCAACAACAATAACTCCCAGCTCCTCTCTGGATTGACTTCTCCAACCAGTGCACAGTGAGTATTCTACTCCACCAGCCTCCTGCAAAACAATAAAGAGAGCAGATACATGTAAAGATCAGCAATACACCCAGATGTTCTGAATTATATGGATATAGATAAACAAGCAAGCATCCCTAACATTTGTAAATCACATCACAATTAATATTCATTTATGAATAAAGTTTGAACCTCAGCACAATGTGACAAACTGTTCTCACTCAACAGGATGATCAAATCAAAAAGTCATTTGTTCCCTTTTAGATTCGACACATAATTCCCATAAAGAGACGAAGTCTTACTGAAACTTTGACACAATCATCTGTTAGGTGTTGTATGTAGAACTTGCAGACAGTCACGCATATGAAAATGGCCCCCAATCAACATGTTAAGCTGGTCTACCAGACAGCAAGGTTTATACACTAGAAAATGTGAGGATGACAGCAGAGGTGTGGACAGCACCTGTTACATTAAAAAAAAAAAATCAAGGTCTAGTTAGGTTAAAAAAGCAGCACAGCTGATTGTAAATACTGTCGTGGTAAAAGAAGCAACCTATTGCCTAGCTTGTCTATCACCAGACAGGAGAATAAAATGACTAATCTTGCCTTAAATAAAAATTTGAAGTCAAATTAGTAACAAGGAAAATAATGAAAACATATGTTTTACAAAACTGTTTCTCTAATTTAATATATTTTGCCATTATTGATATGATTTAAATTATCTCAGTAATTTATGCATTGCACAACCACAAAAAAACATAATACTGAATCACCACCTTAAAAATGTATGAACTATTGCATCTTGTTTTCATTGAGGGTCCCTATAAACTACTGTTTCCATCATCTCCTAATGAAACTCAGTGTTTCAAACAGTCTTCCTGATGTACGACTATACTAATGGAACAAACCACGCTGTGATATGTAACACTTTTGTCCATATCATGCAGCCGCAGCAAGCAGACAGACATACACATGTACCCTGCAGCAGCAGCTGTTTGGGGGCTTGTGAAACCGGCCTTTAGTCAAAAAGGATGTGACCACAATGAGCCGCTTCCTCCCTCATCCCATCTCTGCCCCGATCCCTCCCTTCCAGCACACAGCTGTCCAACAGCACTGCACCCACTTCCACAGCTCATTGTTCTACATACACATGAAAGCGGGGGGGGGATGTAGGCATACACACAAAAAATACTGCCTTTACTGTCATTCACCAGACTACATTCCAGCATCTGTTTCCACATAGCCTGATCAGTCAGAGATCTGGATGCAGCCCCTTTTAGACTGGTTCAACAGTGATTCATCAGTTCACTGTAGAGGGTGAGCAATGGCAAGGGACAGATTTCAACATAAGGACATGTTCAATCTCCCTGAAACAAGTAGAAACATTTCGTTTGAGTAACATGTTGCAGGCGTAACTTACCTGAATGGACAACTGCAAGTGCTGATTTGCATCTGAATTACTAACCCTTCAGATAAAGCTGATCATCTGTGCAAACTGATAACAATTCACACTGATAGCCTTCTGTGCTTTCACCATCAAAGGCTAGAAATCAAATCAATCTCGACTTAGTATACATTTTACAAAGTCACATTGTGAAAGGGGGGTTGGGGGCTGAAGCCCCTAATTTACTGATACACAGCCTAAATGACCGGTGCCCTTAATTAAAAATGGTTAGTGGTTTGTCCTACAGAAATCATCAGCAGTTCCTCCTCTGATTGTATACTGTGATATCAACAGTATGATACATTTTGTATGAGGAAAAATGCAGTCCCAAGAAAATTCCAAATTGACACATGGTACAACCACTGCTATATTATTTATATGCTAACTATTGTCCAAAAGAAGTTTTTTGCACAATGTTCATACATTTTAACAGTTCAAAGCACAAGGTACTTTCCGTTTAAGAAAACATGCCAGGACTGTTTTGGAAACAGCTCTTTCCAAAAGCACAAACCCCTCCATAGAAAGAGGGAAAGAAGAAACCTGGAGCTGGTAAGCAATATTGGCCAGCATAAGTAGCTGTTTATCACAGTTTGGTCTCTTCCGAGTTAAACTAATGAGTCATTCTCGCTTTAACAAGGCCTACATAAACACGCAACATGGCATAACTCAAGAATACTTACTTGGTTGACCGTGTGAAATCTGTCTGAAATGTTTGACGTGTATGAAGTACAGGGAATAGACATTATGGAAGGTATTCGGTAACGTTAGCCGTTAGCACGCCAGAGAAACAGAGAAAAGTGACTCAGAAAGACGCATCTAAAGTTACACAAATCCCAAACTGTTGTAAAAATAGCTTTTAGTGTTGCTGTAATTTAACTGTACCTCGAAAATATGCAGAGTCATATATAATAGATTATTTCAGTGGCATTAGCTCACACTGGCATGTAGCAAGCTAATGTAACTAACAGTTAAATTACCCTCGAGTTATTGCTAATAGCTTAGCTTGCGTTAACGCTAACAGAACTTGTTTAATGTTAGCTTAAATTTATATTCCGATACCTCATATGAACTCTCACTATCTAGTTTACTGTTTAACGCTTTAGGACATTGTTTCCTCTTTAACTTTTACTTTCTGAGCCCAGGTTTTCTAACTCTTAACGATTAGCCTAAGCTACTTCACCCTTCCTCCATTCCAGAAACTTTTCCAACTTCTCTCACAGGCTAAGCTATGCTAGCTGTTAGCCCAGCCCTCAGAGGGAAAGTGGCGAACCTCTGCCCAGCGTACCCTGCTGATGTATCTCACTGGAGTTCACTTCTTCTCTTTCAGTAACAAAAAGTTAACGATCGTTTACACACATACCTTCTAACAATGCACGCAAGCCATGGCGATGAGTGTTGTTGTAACGTTTACGCGGTAGTTCCTACTTTCTTAGAGATTTTCTCTCGTTTTTCCACCGCTTCTTCCCTCCGTCTCTCCATGCCATGTCCTCCAGATCCTGGACACAAGTAGACTGGAGAGGCGGAGTGCATATTACTCCGCTTTCCTGACAAACTAGTGCTTTCTTTGGCGATTGAGGTGAGGAGGATTTGGTAACTTTGCCTAAAACATACTACTACAACACAAGCTAAAACAGCTGTTTTATATCCAAAAGCTGGACATGCAATGGCTAACTTTTCTAAGTGTTCATTTGCTTCCCTTACGGTTAGACAATTAAGAGGACTTTTCCGACTGAACAAACGTTTTCCACTTTTGACAGTTATTACGGTCATAAACGTTAATTGCAACATCAGCAGCTGGACTTGTAACAAACCAAACACCAGCACTGATCTTAACACGTTTTTCGTGTTTCGGTGTATGAAGTTGGAATTCTTACGGTGGTCGTGCTGCGGCTCTGGGACGTCTCACAAGTTGCTGGCTCCACTGAGTCTGGAGTGCTGTGGTTTGTTGTGCATTGTTGTCCTTTGTAGTCAGTTGTTCGATGCTTTAGCAGTCCCCCGAGTTGTTAATCCGTTTAACTTTAATTAAACACTCTAATAATTCTTATTTCCCACCCGCATCCGTAGACGAACCGCTACTCCTTAGCAGGACAATTTGGGAGTGCGGATTCTTCTTTCACTTTTAAGGGTCCAAATGAACTGCAGTGTCGATGTTCAACCACTAGTGGGCAACCTACACCCACCTTTGGGCTGTTATTTATATATATATTTATATTTATATATTTACATTTACTGGCACATTAATAAAACATGATTCTCTTGATGCCTTCCTTGAAGTGTTTCCTCTCCCATCTCATGCAGAGATGTAACATTAGTGGTAAAGGGTATTCTATTTCAAGTTCACATGGTTTATTTTAAATGTAATTTATTTTCATAAGATATTGCTCTATACTATAAATTAAACATTTTATGTACAAGCAATATAGTTTGTGAGATGTACAGTATCTCACAAAAGTGACTACACCCCTCACATTTTTGTAAATATTTGATTATATTTTTCCATGTGACAACACTGAAGAAATGACACTTTGCTACAATGTAAAGTAGTGAGTGTAAAGCTTGTATAACAGTGTAAATTTGCTGTCCCTTCAAAATAACACATCACAAAGCCATTAATGTCTAAACCGCTGTCAACAAAAGTGAGTACACCCCTAAGTGAAAATGTTCAAATTGGGCCCAATTAGCCATTTTCCCTCCCCGGTGTCATGTGACTCATTAGTGTTACAAGGTCTCAGGTGTGAATGGGGAGCAGGTGTGTTAAATTTGGTGTTATCGCTCTCACACTCCCTCATACTGGTCACTAGAAGTTCAATATGGCGCCTCATGGCAAAGAACTCTCTGAGGATCTGAAAAAAAGAATGGTTGCTCTACATAAAGATGGCCTAGGCTATAAGAAGATTGCCCAGACCCTGAAACTGAGCTGCAGCATGGTGGCCAAGACCATACAGCGGTTCAACAGGACAAGTTCCACTCAGAACGCCTCGCCATGTTTGACCTAAGAAGTTGAGTGCACATGCTCAGCGTCATATCCAGAGGTTGTCTTTGGGAAACAGGCGTATGAGTGCTGCCAGCATTACTGCAGAGGTTGAAGGGGTGGGGGGTCAGCCTGTCAGTGCTCAGACCAGCAACCAGCTGAGGAGTACAAAGACAAGTGTGTCTTGCCTACAGTCAAGCATGGTGGTGGGAGTGTCCTGGTCTGGGGCTGCATGAGTGCTGCCGGCACTGAGGAGATACAGTTCATTGAAGGAATCATGAATGCCAACATGTACTGTGACATACTGAAGCAGAGCATGATCCCCTCCTTTCAGAGACTGGGTCGCAGGGCAGTATTCCAACATGGTAACGACCCCAAACACACCTCCAAGACGACCACTGCCTCGCTAAAGAAGCTGAGGGTAAAGGCGATGGACTGGCCAAGCATGTTTCCAGACCTACACCCTATTGAGCATCTGTGGGGCGTCCTCAATCGGAAGTTGGAGGAACGCAAGGTCTCTGACATCCACCAGCTCTGTGATGTCGTCATGGAGAAGTGGAAGAGGACTCCAGTGGCAACCTGTGAAGCTCTGGTGAACTATTGCCCAAGAGGGTTAAGGCAGTGCTGGAAAATAATGGTGGCCACACAATATTGACACTTTGGGCCCAATTTGAACACTTTCACTTAAGGGTAGACTCACTTTTGTTGCCAGCAGTTTAGACATTAATAGGTGTGTGAGGTTTTATTTTGAGGGAACAGCAAATTTACAGTTATACAAGCTGTACACTCCCTACTTTATATTGTAGCAAAGTGTCATTTCTTCAGTGTTGTCACATAAGATATAATCAAATATTTACAAAAATGTGAGGGGTATTCTCACTTTTGTGAGATCCTGTAAGGTGCCCATAAAATCTTATACTATTGTGCCGACTTTAGTTTGTGGCTGTACAAACTAAAAGGTACGTTAACTGCATGACAGGCTGAGTTTGATGGAAAAAACTATGCTTTTCTGTTTGTGAATGTACGTGAATATTAACACTGAATATCTGTGACTTTTATTAGGTTAACTGGACGACACAGTCCAAGGTCATCAGACTATCAATTATTACAGGAAAAGTTACACAACATAATTTGGGTACTTGTTTATTTTGAAGCTGGATTCACTGCATTCAAGCAAAACCCAGATGGCTACATGCTGCAAGAAACATAATATCCTGTTAATAATAATCATCAATATTGTCTCAGTAAGAGGAATCCTTCACTGGTACATGTGCTTTATTCATTAGTCATGAGAGCCAGGCATCTGTTAACCCTATAATCACACTCACACCAGGTCAATGTTTGGTCCAGGCATGAGGAGCGGGAAAAGCTCTGCCAATCTCCAAAATCTTTCTATTACTATCCCCAATTACAGTAGCTTCTGAAAGTAGACAGACATTTTATGCTCAAATATAACCAGCAGAACTGATTGGATGCTATTCTTACATAACATCAGAAAAGAGGTTGTGACAACACCAATGGCACAGTATTGCCGCAGTGCAGCTCAGTTTAGTGATCTAATTAAATATTCACAATGAACAGTGACGTAGTGATGGTGAGCCGATACTGGAAATTGCACTCATGTATACTCATGTCTCCTGATGCAAAAAATCCAGACCATGGTATCAAGTATTCAAATATTTTCCTCATGTATGAACACAAATCAATTACTATTTCTACTACCTTATCCCTCCTAATGGAAAAATATACAGTGAACAAATATGCAAAGACAACTTTTATTTACAGGAGTCCAAGCTGCAAATGAAGCACATATCATCTGGTAAAGCTGTTGAGTCTCTATAGGTGCAAACATGTACAGAAAGAAATTAACTCTCCCCAAAATCTACCACCCTTCATGTTCATGGTATACAGGTGCACAAAAAGTCTAGTTTTGTGACCACCACGGTAAAAAAGGACAGATGAGCGTTTACAGAGGATCCGTTTTTCTGCCCGTATCTAACAAAAAAGCTGGTAGTAACTGTTACGTGTAACAACTTTCAAATGTCTTGCTGCAAACCAACCACATTTGAATGCACAGAAAGAACTACATCACATTGTTGTATGGAGTGGTAACCAAAGTATTAAGCATATTGAGTAATCTACAACTTCAGTTATAACAATCCTATTTTTTTTACATTGTTACAGTCCGTATCATTACACATTCTGAGATCCTTATGAAGTAATAAACTCTAACAAATCATGACATAATTACATTATCCAACAAATTTGGTAGTTTTGACTATATTCAACTTTGTAAATAATCAGTGTGGACTGCAGATCACCTGATTTGATTGACTGGTGATCAACAGGTAAATTATCAGTGTGCAAGGAGGTCTGATTTGCAGTGTCAGAGTGCTGTTAGGAGACACATTTTAAATAAAATGTATTACGTTTGGATGTACTTGGAGTATCTTTGTGTCACACTTTTCTTTGACAGTTTAGTCATCGTGTCTATCACGGCCTGTTAATTACACAAGTCTTCCCCTACTTGAAAAACACATATGAAATTAGTCACTTCCCGTTCACAGAGGATTTTTCACAGCAGAGATATAACAGGCAGAGTGTTCACAATGCTAATGAGTAACACGTGAACGGGCAGGAAGTTGAATCACTGCATTTAAAACACAGAGCAGTAAAATTACTATTTAGTTGTGGGAAATTTATGACAGATTATCAACAGCCCATTCCTACATCTTGAAGCAACTAGTGAGAGCGGCGCTTCCAAAACCGAGTCAGGCGGTGGACCACTGAGGATGACCTGCAGAGTGCTCCAGCAGGAGTGTAAAAGGTTTTTTATTTTAATGCTGCCTGCTGCTGGTTGTATGATGCTGGTTTAAAATGAACCTGCATGGTGATCAGTTATTTTAAAATGCGTCAATTCCTTGAATCAATTCTTTATACACTGTATGTGCACTGTATCTGCTGCACTGCTAGTGTCTTTTCTAGTTAGTTAGTTTCTAGTTACTTTCATGTGCTATTTGCACATCATTTTGGCTTTGTTTTAAACTCAGTTGAAAGCAACAAATAACACCACCCCCCCAGCTAAAATTTAACATTGTGCAGTCTGCCTTTAAGGACATAAATACATTCAACACAAACTGAGGAGGTTTATTGGTTGACATGTGATTTTGGGAATCATATAAATGAGCAAACATGATGACTACAATACTTTACAAAAATGATTACTGTACAGTGTAAATAGGCTTTGGTGAATTAGTTAACAGCATTTTTTTTTTTTACCAGTGTCAATTTTAAGTATGGATTCTTAAAAAGGGACTCAAACCCCTGAACAACAGTGGGGTCATGTACAACAAACTGAGCTGTGACAGATCACACAGAAACACACAGTGCAGTGTAAATAGAGTTAGCCCCATCTCTTGTCTTGCCATACAGCCATGTAGTACCTCTAGTTAAAGTGATGTTTCACTTTTGTTGAACATCCCAAGCTCCTAGTAGAGAGCTGAGATCTGTAGATTGTTTTGTGTATTTGTAATTTGTATTGTGGTGCAAGTTTAACTTTGACTTGGTTTAGGAGCTGCCTGTACTAAAGTCACCAATTCATTTAGTTTGTTCAAACATTCTGCCAGTGTGAATCATCTTTAAAAACAAAGTGACTTGCAGCAACAGCTAACAAGACTGATTAAGGTGATGGTTCTGTGAAATAATGCTACTTAAAATTGTACCAATCCCAGCTGTACACTAGGTCAGTGAGTGCATGTGATGGCAATACATTTTTCTATATTTCATTTTTTCTCTTAACAGGGAATGTTAAGGGTTTTTTTATACAGAAAATGACTGAATGAATTAATCAGAATTCATGTATTCGCAGCAACACATAATATTCAAATGTGCTCAAAACAATACTATTCTTAAATTACACACTCAAATATTAAGAAGTAAAATCTCTGCAAGTCACCCGTGTCTCGTCTACACACTTCAACAGTAGTGCACATTTTCCTCTTCACATAAGTGAATCATTTCAGTGAATCTCTTCTAAGAGTGGAGAGCTTTTACAAATCCACACATTGGAATGCACTCAGTAAACTACTTTTGATTCAAACTGATTAAATAATCGATGTGAAACACTACTGTCCTAAACTTTGCTCAGGATATAAAAATGCTATGCACAAGAACTAGAATAATGCTTACAGCAGCATCGGATCAACTATAGGGACATGACAAAGTTTATCCAACATGAGTCATGTTTGCATGTAATTTTTCTTTTTACATCCAGACTCCAGTTTGCGTGTCATTTATCTTTTCACAATGTCCACAAAATATTGCTTTCATTGTTAGCAGTGAGCAGTCACAGTGGGATGTGTGAATGTTCTTAGTTCAGAGCTACTTTTTCTGCAACCAATCAGAAACCAGTAGATTTTTGTTTTTAGTTAAGATTGTCTCCTGTTATGTTCCACCTGTTGTATATTCACATTAACAGCTTAATCATTTTGCTTTCCAGCAGACATATGTGGATTTAGATCAAGAATAATGGTCAGAATAAGCACTACCAATCGTGCTGATTGCAGCTCCTTAAATGTTGTGGGAACCTGGCAATCTATGACAAAGGCCAGTTTAGATACTATATTTGTTGGGATAAAGAAAGAGGCTCATTTGCCTTCTGTTTCCCGTCTGCTCTGCCAAACCATTATCTATGCTAATTGTATATAAATGATGTCGAGCTGCTGCCCATAATCAATAATATAGAAAGTGTGTGTGTGTGTAGTTGTTGGTTTTTGACAAAAAATCTAAACATCAAGAAAAAAAGAAAAAGTTTAAAACCTACAATAGACCAGTAGGTGTGTGCTTAATCATGTTGTTTATAAAACTGTCACTTATGGAAATGTGTATATTTAGAAACAACACCACTGAGCATATTACTGCAAAAGGTCAGTAATTGTTTTCATGCTTGGGCTTCTTTATTCTTATTTTTCTGGACAAGAGGCTGTTAGCCCTGAGAGGTGGACACATATAATCAGGTAGGAAAGCTGTTTTGAGCCTAGATGGAGTTCAATGAATGTCTCAGTGGTATCCTATGAGTTGAACAATTATATCAGAAAATGCACAAATTACAGTTGCAGTTTTAAATTTGACAGGTCCCATATTGGCCATGCTGAAAAAAAAAAGACCCTCACTTATGATGTGAATGCGGACATTATTATACCAATTAATCAAAACGGTTTAGATTAATGTTTAGCAACCTTTACATAGACCTCAGTTCCTTTTTTGCCATCATGCAATAACTTTATAAAACTGAAGATGAGAGACACTGATGTCTGAGTGAGGATTTTTTCTGTAGCATGGATGTTTTATTCTGTGTTTGTCTCACACCAAAAGAAATGTAGGACCAAGTGACCAAGGTACTGGCCTCATAACTGCGGTTGGTCCCCGGGTACTGCACAGAGGGCTGTCTACTGCTGCTACACAGGACAGTTCAAATGCATAGGAAAAATTGTCAACTGGAATTTAATAAGTTACCCTCCCATCTCCCCACAACCGGTGATATATGTCCATTTCCAGCAGTGAGTATAATATGCAGCTCCTAAAGCAGCCATCTGCTTTTCCTATAAAGTTTCCCTTCAGCGTAGCTCAGCAGCTTCTGTATGGTCACTTGGGCACTGTGCGTTGAAAATAAGCACTTACTGAACAATGTGTCAAATGGTAATGGATGGTAACAGTTTAAGTTACGATGCATAAAATGGTCAGCTAATTTGGCAAATGAAGGCACTGAAAAACGAGTATTTGATAAAAACATCCCCACACTACTGTAGTGTAGAAACACATATTCCTGCAGCATCAGAGTCTCATGTTACAGACTATGAAGAGCAAGTAAGTACATTTCCATGTCATGAGGCAAAAAGCTGGTGAGCTTTGACATGAAGAGTGCACACAACGTCCCCTTTGGTGCTGGACACTATCTGTCCTGGTTGTCCAACCTGAGGCCACAGTCCGTGGCATCCTCAGAGGGAGTGTCTAGGACAGGATTGACAAACCCTTCGAATTCAGTGTCTGCATTGTCCTCTGGATGGTTACTCACAAAATCATTCTCCCACTCCAGCGCGTTGGAGTCCTCGGAGGCCGAGGTCGGGCCGCTGTTCATCTGCTTGCTGCCAGGCCTCAGGGCTGCGCGCAGGATGTCCTCCTCCGTCCGAGACCTCTCCCAGGCTGGAAGCGCACGATTGATTCCTACGATGCAAGGACATGAGCTTTCATTCTGACGGCAGAAGTCACTGAAGTCAAAAACTGCTGCAGGCAGTGATCTGGTGATTCTGAGAGAATCCATGAAACCTGTTCCTAGACTGTCTAAACAAAATTTAAATGTTAACATATTACATGTTATTGTATTTTTAGTTTTTTTATGGAACCTAACTTAGATGCTATATATGTATGGATCAGATCTTTAAAAAAAAAAATTTTTTTTAGATAGGGACAGCTGGAGGGAGAGAGAGAGAGACAGAGAGAGAGAGAGAGAGAGACATAGATTCACATTCAGCAAAGGGCCCCAGGCTGGAATTGAACCCAGGCGGCTGAGATGAAGACTCAGCCTTAGTACATGATCCACACTCTCTACCAGGTGAGCTACCGGGGCACCGAAAGGTTTCCAATTTCAGCAAAAATGTAAACTCTCACCTTCCTCGTCTTCCCACTCTAGATCCAGTGAGGTCCCGTCATCGTTGGTGGAGCGGGTCTTGGTGGTGAAATCCCAGCTGTACTCTGTGTTGGGAGTCACCACATTGGTGTCAGAGGGCAGTCCTGGAAACAGTCAATTATTACAACAGAGTGCATGTAACTCTTACACCTTTTCAACTGACTGTACACATCCACCTGTAATTAGTATAATTAAGGCTAGAAGGTTCACTTACTGGTGCTCCTGAAAGCCTCGGACTGGGCTTTTACACTATGGAGGTAGATGTCAAAATCCTCCCCAGAGGCTTGTCTGGAACAGGCCCATGATAACAATCAACACAACAATAACAGAACTGTTTTTCACAAAAATCAGTGTGCCTGAACAGCACCTCCCACTAAATGTTTTTAGCTGTTCTACCTTCCAGCACAGTGTAAATTAGTTAGGCAGTAGTGCTTTGTAGTGAGTTGTTGGTTAATACCAATTATTAAATGACAGATTTTGCTGCTACCAACCAGGGGCTTTTCCAGGCTCTTGAAACATTGGGGGCTTAGCCCAGCACAGATATCTTTCATGTTTTAACCCCCCCATCCCCCATTGCCGCCTACCCAACGTACATCTATAAAGCTACAGTAAATTATGTACCTACATTTATTATGAATTTTATAATTACTATTGATAATAATTAACACTGATATTAAAATGGGGGGTCTGGGGGTCCTCCCCCTGAAAAATTTGGGCTTTAAACTCTTAATTTTCTGCATTCTGGTGAATTTATTTGCACCAATTTATTGAGGAAATGTCTCAGATGACAATTCAAAATAAGAATATAGTGTAATATAATGCAGTAAGGCTGTCAGATATGTTTCTCCTGTAGATCAACTTTCTCATTTCATTTAATCCCAGCTGAGTGTACATACATGCAGGCATACCTGAAGTAGCCTAAAGTGTTTTCAAATGTGCATATGGCACCTTTTTACCTCAATGATAAATTAGCTTAATTAATCTGAATTCAGTTAAGAATTATTTATTGATGAAGAATTCGATAGGCCCCACCCCGAAGATTTTGAGCATTAAACACTTAATTTCCTGAATTCTGGAGACATCTTCTGTACCAATTTATGGTGAAAATGTCTTTATCTTTATAAAGGGAAGGACAAAATTTAGTTGGCAGATGACAATTCAGAATATAAAAATATATTAGAATCAGTAACTTATTATTTTTTTAGCTCATATCTATATATCGGTTATTTTCACGCATTTAGCGAATTATTATTTTTTTGGCCCACAACACAAGAAACAGCTCGAGCAGAGGGGGAGGGAGTGGGTGCTGTAAGAGATGTGATTGCGCCGGCCCAATGTCAGTATAGGCCTGATGCTTTATGGGCCGATAGTTGGCCCATTTTTAAAAAACAGTTTGGCCTATATAAATAAATAATTTGACTTGCAGCCTACTCGATGAGACGAGCGCACTGCTGTTCATCAGAGGAAGAAAACCGAAACTGAAACCACTTGTGATCAGACAGAAATATCACCACAATTCCACACAAATGTTCACTTGAGCACCTCTGATTAAGTGCAGCTCACAGCCGCTTTAGAGGGAATGAAGCATCCTGGAGCAGAGAGACAGTCAAACAGAGCAAAGTGTCTCTGAGGGAGTGGGAGAGAGACAGCAGGACATAGAGCGACAGGTGTCTGCGTTGCTGGTCAGGTGTGTCATGAGTAACGGTGGGGGGTCACGTTATTTGAAGCCCTGAAAAAATAACCTGGCAACGCCGATGCCACCAACTGAGGTGGATGATAGACTCTCGTAATGTCGCACCCTTTGAAATACACAAAGCATTACTGTCTACTAAGTATGTCTACTAAAACCTATGAAAACCTCATGACCGCAGCTTGTCCTCAGCTGAACAACTACCCTGTTGTTTAATGAACTTAAGTGACTCACTTTCTTTGCTGAGTTTCACTGCCGGAGCCATCTGCTTTCCCCCGTTTCTTCTGGGCAGACAGCTGCTAACAATAAAACCATAGATCAAGTAAATAGAAACAGACTATATTAATGATTAAGAAAAAAAAAAACTAGTTCACAGTTTTGGCGCTATCAGGGAAACATGTGAGCAAATAACTACAACAAAACAAAGCAGCACCTGAGGAGCAGTGGAATGTGGCTTAAAACAAGAGTCCCATTTTCATTATATCACTATGAAAGGCCGTTTTCCTGCAGCAGGCCTTTCCCTGAAACAGTATTGGCAGTAGACCAAATGCTCCTACAATACTGTTATATTTCTAAAAGGACGATTAAGAATGCTACCAACATATTGTCAGGTAAATGAAGCCCTGAAACAGACAACAATTCTCCTGACTGGATAACAAGGACAGGTTAATGAGGACAAAAAGTATCACTGTGTTCCTTTAAGATGCAGAAGGCGGAGGACTGGAAATGCTGGGTAGCCACTGCAGGGCCAGTAGGTTAGAGAAGTTATTTTAGCCAAGCAGTAAGTCAAACTGGCAGAAGGGAGCGCTCAGTGCCGCCTCACCTCCTTCAATTTTCGTTCACGTGCCAACCTGGCGGCCTCACGCTGGGCGGCATTTCTAGCCTCCTCTTCTAGCCTCAACTTCTCCTCTTGTGCCTCTAACTGAAGCAGAAATAACAAAATGAAACAAACACAAAACACAGAACAGAAAATTACAAAACAGAAAAAACAATGCAGCAAATTAAAAATAAGCAAAAATAGGTCTATAAACGTAAAACGGGATCACGGGGGCTGTTCTTACACAGACAGACCACTCTATAGATGACCTTTTAAATGGTGTCTCACCTCCACTTGTAGTTTCTGGTCTATCAGGATCTGCTTGTCTGAGAGTGCAGTGTAGCGGTGCTCTTTGAGGTGCTTGATCTCATCTTCACTGATGGGCCTAATAAAAGAACAAGAGAACAGACTTGAAGGTAAAACTGTTCTTTCAAAATCTTTTTGGTCAAAGAAAATGCAAGATGTTTTGCCCTTACCTCGGGCAGGGCTGTGGGCTCTCAGCCTGCAATACAGCAAACACAACATTTTACTATTCAGCAATGTGAAATGCATCTTCCTCACTGCGCTGTTTGACTTAAGTGGTACTAGTCTGAGACTCTGCAAACTGTAATTGAGTTACTCCCTGACTGCTGTGTTTTCCATCCATCACTGGATGATGGCTATCAGGGGAAAGTCTGACAGAAGTCTAAAAGTAAAAAGTATCCTGGGAGTACCATCGTAATGCAGCTTTTAATCAGACTACACGTCTTATAAAACACGTCTATTACAATTTCATTGGTTCCAATAATAGAGAAAGCTCATTAACAGTGTTTTCCTCAAACAGAGCTGTAATGATTACTATATTAATCGATTAGTAGTAAACTATTAAATTAATCAGCAACTATTTTGATAATCGATTAATCGGCTTTAACGTCCATATTCTCTGATTTCAGCGCCTACAATGTGAATATTTTCTGGTTTCTTTACTCCTCTCTGACAGTAAACTGAATATATTTGACATTTGATGATGTCACCTTGGGCTTTGAGAACTGATCGACATTTTTCACAATCTTCTGGACCTAACAACTAATCGATTACTGGAGAAAATAACTGACAGATTAAATCGATAATGAAAATAACCATTAGTTGCAGCCCTATCCTCAAACTTATTTAGGTTCTGATAACTCTTATACATGAACAGGTCATCAGCACATGATCAGAAGGTTGATCAGACTTACCTCATCACTCTCAACCAGATTTTCAAACTGCAAAATTAAATGTCACAATTAGATAAAACATATTACTGAACAGGCATCATTAAAAAAAGATACTAGCAATACTATCAAATGTACGACTCATACCTCTATTGTATAATGTTCCCCTGTGGTACTGCTTCGGAAGTATTTGGACCTGTATGAATAATTAAGACAGCATGATGACACTGGCAACAATCTGAGCCTTTGAATCACCTTTGAACCTGATGTGTTCCTTTAGACCCTTCAAAAGCAGCACTTTATCTGATATCGAATGGTTCTGATCATAGTAACTCATCTGGTGATGAGGATTTTATTGTTGTCCCGAGTGTTGACTCAAATAATTCAGAGGCAGAAGCACAGTGTACACAGTCATGTTGCAACAGCCACAGGACTGTGACTTGTGATCATTAAAATATTTTATTTTTATTTCACTTTGTGATTTATATGTGTGAGTGTGCCACAAAATCACGATTTTATTACCCTAGTGTACAGCTGCTGGTCATATAATTAGAATGTCATCAAAAAGTTGATTTATTTCAGTAATTCCATTCAAAAAGTGAAACTTGTATAATGTATACATTAATTCCACTCAGACTGATATATTTCAAGTGTTTCCTTTTAATTTTGATGATTATAACTGACAACTAATGAAAACCCCAAAATCAGGATCTCAGAAAATTAGAATATTGTGAAAAGGTTCAATATTGAAGACACCTGGTGCCACACTCAAATCAGCTAATTAACTCAAAACACCTGCAAAGGCCTTTAAATGGTCTCTCAGTCTAGTTCTGTAGGCTACACAATCATGGGGAAGACCGCTGACTTGACAGCTGTCCAAAAGACGACCATTTACACCTTGCACAAGGAGGGCAAGACACCAAAGGTCATTGCTAAAGATGCTGGCTGTTCACAGAGCTCTGTGTCCAAGCACATTAATAGAGAGGCGAAGGGAAGGAAAAGATGTGGTAGAAAAAAAAAAGTGTACAAGCAATAGGGATAACCGCACCCTGGAGAGGATTGTGAAACAAAACCCATTCAAAAATGTTGGGGAGATTCACAAAGTGGACTGCAGCTGGAGTCAGTGCTTCAAGAACCACCACGCACAGACGTATGCAAGACACGGGTTTCAGCTGTCGCATTCCTTGTGTCAAGCCACTCTTGAACAAGACACAGTGTCAGAAGCGTCTCGCCTGGGCTAAAGACAAAAAGGACTGGACTGCTGCTGAGTGGTCCAAAGTTATGTTCTCTGATGAAAGTAAATTTTGCATTTCCTTTGGAAATCAAGGTCCCAGAGTCTGGAGGAAGAGAGGAGAGGCCCAGAATCCATGTTGCTTGAAGTCCAGTGTAAAGTTTCCACAGTCAGTGATGGTTTGGGGTGCCATGTCATCTGCTGGTGTTGGTCCACTGTGTTTTCTGAGGTCCAAGGTCAACGCAGCCGTCTACCAGGAAGTTTTAGAGCACTTCATGCTTCCTGCTGCTGACCAACTTTATGGAGATGCAGATTTCATTTTCCAACAGGACTTGGCACCTGCACACAGTGCCAAAGCTACCAGTACCTGGTTTAAGGACCATGGTATCCCTGTTCTTATTTGGCCAGCAAACTCGCCTGACCTTAACCCTATAGAAAATTTATGGGGTATTGTGAAAAGGAAGATGCGATAAGCCAGACCCAACAATGCAGAAGAGCTGAAGGCCACTATCAGAGTAACCTGGGCTCTCATAACACCTGAGCAGTGCCACAGAATGATCGACTCCATGCCACGCCGCATTGCTGCAGTAATTCAGGTAAAAGGAGACCCAACTAAGTATTGAGTGCTGTGCATGCTCAAACTTTTCATGTTCATACTTTTCAGTTGGCCAACATTTCTAAAAATCCTTTTTTTGTATTGGTCTCATGTAATATTCAAATTTTCAGAGATACTGAATTTGGGATTTTCATTAGTTGTCAGTTTTAATCATCACAATTAAATGAAATAAACATTTGAAATATATCAGCCTGTGTGTAATAAATGAATATAATATCAGAGTTTCACTTTTTGAATGGAATTACTGAAATAAATAAACTTTTTGATGATATTCTAATTATATGACCAGCACCTGTATATGGCAGTTTATTGTTAAAACATGACCTAATGGGCGCAAAGTGGATGTTCACATATTTATAATGGAGGTTTCCAAATTACCAATCCCACAATAACACCTTATAACCAACCCTGCATCTGTTCCGATATGTAACCATATGGAAGTGATGTTATGAGTGTGAAACAGCTTGCTGCTGTATGAGAGAAAGCCTTTTGTGATCTTAACAGAACACAACGTGAAGTCAGACTAAAAAACATCAATTATTAACCTTAAATTTGATGACACAACGGCCTGCGCGCAAGACACTGAGACCCAGTATATGCACCAGGGCTGACAGACATAACGTTACTGAACTGCAATAACCAAATATTAGTGTACGATCATTGTCTTCTTAAGCAGCCCTAGCCCGCTCTTCCACTGATGCTAGTGTGCTTATTTAATTATCACTAACGTAGCTAAACTAACATTACATGTGCAGACTGTTGACAATAGGGGTGGGGTCTTCATTCCTGGTGGCACTAGCTGGCTGCAGGGTAGACCCCACAGAGACCCTCCTATTTCGTACCCCGTGAGTTAGCTTCCTGGCTGGCCTTTAACGTTATCTCTCGGTTACAGCACCACTGCACGGCTAACACACAGAGCTGTCACAAGTCTAATGTTACACGTATCAGTTATCGGCTAACCAACTTATAGCTAACGTTAGCAGTAAACGGGTGCGCTGGTTCAGAGGATGCCTGTATGCTAGTTAGCTCACACAGCTAACTTAGTGCCCTGTTTCACCTACCCGCCTCCTCTCTGGATCCGGTTGGCTTCTCTCCTGAAGAGCCCAACACAGTATGCCCAGCAGTTGCCCATCGCATTGTCAAATATTCCTATTATCTAGCTGCCTAGCTAGTAACCTCCTGACAGCTGTAGGTGCTTCAGTGTAGGTAGCTACATCTCCTAGTCCAGTCCTGCTGCTCCAGCCACTTCCTCATCCTCCTTCCTCTCCGGTTGATGACAGAGCAGACAGAAACGTTCAACACCACCGCCTACTGTCGTTTTGTTGGAACTTGTAGTTCATAAATAAGACCAGGTTTAGTCGGAAGGATAATTGGATCATCTTCATTTTGCTTAGTGATTGCACAGCACAGATGGAGGTACATTTCAACTATCACATAATTTATGTATATTTACTAGAATCAATTACACCTGTAGGACATATAGAGTCAGCAATAGAGGTGTAGTAGGAACATTTATGTCATTAATGTGGTGTAGGCAACCAAATATCCAATAATTAAACATTTTCACTCCCCAGCTGGCTTGGAGGCATGATTACACTCTTGTTTTAAAAACATTATTTTCTTTTCTTTCTTCTTTGTTACTCTATGTCCTCAGTGGTGAAGAGGTAGGCATGGATCTCATCTTCAGCAGGGGTGTTGTCCACATTGCGGACTCTCGCTTTCTGGGCAACAGGCATGCATCTGGGCATGAGCTTTCTCCCACTCTGAAAGAAAATGGGCTACAGTTTAAGCATTGCTCCTCGGTTTGTTTTATTGTTTTACTTTTACTGTAAATTCAGTTGTGATTGTATAAGGATACACCGTGAGCTTCTGTTAATATGTAAACTGATAGTGAATTGTGATGTTTACTAGTGGTCATACAAAATTCAAAGAATAGCATAAAACACTGTTTGAAGCAATTTGTGAGCAAATGACTTACTATTTTCTTGGAGTCAGCCAGGGATCTCTCCATGTACCTCCTCATCCTTTCCTTCTGTTTCTCGCTCTGCTCTCTCAGCTTTTCTTCACGCTGCCTGCGACGTGATGTAAGAAGAGAGGGACTTCTCAAATAACATGTATTTTTTATTAAGTAAATATCTTGAAGGAAAAACATCCTGTCGTGCAAAGCATTCCAGGAGTTTTGTTGTGTGTCAAATTGCCAAAGGTTATGACATTGCCATTTGACATTACCGTCAGAAGATGGTTGAATTTGTGGCACTATTGATTTTTTTTTTTCTTGCAATCCAGAGAAAATTAGCAAAGTATAGTCACTAAGACGTACCGGCTCCTCCTCTCACTGTCCTTGATCTTCTTCATCATCTCTAAGCTTTCTTCAGGGATGCCCTCAAGGCCCTGCAGCAGTAAAGACATACGATTCTCTATATTGGCCAGCTTCTCCAAGGTGCTGAGGTTGGTCATCCTGTCATCCACGCAGCAGCGATGGACCTCTGCCACCTTCTCACCCAGAGCGTCCAACATAATGTCCTGTGAGCAAGAGGAGGAAGTGGGATGGATAGAAGAGGAAAAAATGAGATGGGACGAGATATCTACTGCTCAAAGCTACTCATGCCAACTTCCTGGGTGTTGTAGTCACTCTGCTCTTGGATTAAAATGTAGTCAAACACATGCAGCTCTCTTACCTGGTCTTCTGTCTTCAATGAGACATGGAGCTGAACCTTCTGTTTGAGCTTGGTGCCTCTTGCCTTCTCTTTGTCGATTCTCTGGTTCATGTCGTTTAGCTCAAGCATTAGCTGCTCTTCATCCTTTTCACTTCAGACAGGAATGATTCAGCATTCGACAGATGTGGGAAAGAGGAGGGGATGAGGGAGTAAATAGTGTACAGGGAAAAAAACGGTCTGAAATTCCAAGGAAAAACATTAAGGAAGACGAGCAGATTGAAGGAATATATTTTGGCACATGTAGAGTTCAGGAGAGAACAAGTCTGCTCATTTTAAGAAAGACAGGCCTAATACTAAAACCATTCATTCACAGAGCATCACCCTTTGACCCATAACTCTTACATCTTCTTCCTGGTTGTCTCCATGGACTGTCGGAGCTCTTCCAGTGTCTCCTCCACCCTTGTAGAGTTCTGAATCAGGGACAAGTTCTGCTCTGTAAGCTCTGTCACCAGATCCAGTAGCTGTTTGGGATCAGTGAAGTACAGCTCTGGCTCATCCTGCGAGGGAGACAAACAAGGTGGACAAGATTTTAAAAAATGCTGAAGATGTAAAAAGATGTTTAGTCAACTAGGTTTTCAGTTTTGGAAAACTGACCTCAAATTCTGAGCTGTCACTATCCAGTTTAGCATGTGTCATCCTGAAAGAAAGAGTTTGGGTCAGGAGAACGTTTTTGCAGCATAAGAACAGGATTTCAAATGAATTTACTGCAAGATGTCTTAAAAAAATTTCACAAGGGCATACTTCAACAGGATAAAAATAAACAGGAAGTCATGGACACATTAGATAAATACAGGGCGAGCAGTAAAAAGGTCCTCAGTGTTGGGATGGAGGTGGGTGTGTCGGTGTTTCCTTACAGCGTGTCGCTGGGGGCTGAGGACAGCCTGGTCTCTCTGATGGAAGGCAGCTCTCGACCTGGACTGGAAACCTTGCCCTCCAAACCTGTGCACATGTTATCATTCAAATCACACTATTAGCAAGATCCATACTTGCTGTAACAAGGTGCTCATTGAACAAACTTTGAGTTTGAATAAAAAACAACAATATCAGGTCATTAGCCAGTATTACCCAGGTCCTCATCATCTTTATTATGTTGATTCACAAAGTACTTGCCGTTTCTCATAGCTGACTCCTCAGGCTCCCCGTTCTGCTTCTCCTGACAGTCTCCGTCAGACAGTACTTTAGCTTTCAAAGTCTTCTGGGTCTCCTGCCACTCTGGAGGAGACAACTTGAACAGAAGCTTCTTGTATCTCTTGTAGTCTATAAGGATCTCTTCAAACCTGGCGATCTCACTATGAAAGAAGAAAGAGTAGATTCAAATCAACATGGCATAACAAATTATATTCACCCTTATTTATAGTTCCTCTCAGTGCACCTTTTGGGTAAACACTGTGGTGCACTAAAACATGGGTAGTGTGCACAGTCATTCATTATCAGAGTGACACCTTTTTATGGTCCCTATTTCAGCAGTCAGTTTCTTGATCTCAGCATTCTTCTCCTGTTTGAACTTGGCCTCCCGTTCGAAACTGACAACAGAGACAAGACAACCATTTCAACTTAACTTTTTAAACGTCATATTCATGTCCTCTTTAGGGCAAAAATTCTTTAATTTTTTGACACAATGTCAAAAATAGCCAGCATGTCATATATTAATACTTCTTACAATGCTCTGGCCTCCACAGACTTCTTCTCGTTCTCCCTGAGGAACTCTTCAAAGTTGAGGTTGTCTCTCTCAATGATCTTTTCAAGCCGTTTCAGCTGTCCCTCCTCTTTTGCAATTGCCTTGTCCATCTTCATAATCTCAGACCTCTTTGTCATCAGAGATAGCTGAGGAAGGGAGAGTTATGGCAAAGTCAGACATGTATTGGCAGGGAAAAAAGAAGATACTCATTGAACAAAACAACCACCATACAGCACTTTTTATAATACTGCAAATAATTAATACTTAAAACGTATAAATCCCTCGATCATTTTCCTTTTTCCATAATGCATTTATTTTGGTTTGTTGCTTAGCTGAGTTAGTTTTGGATAATATAAGTGATGCTCACTTCGTGTAGCCTGTGACTTCATGTCCATGTCACTCTGTTTCTACAGTTGTATTCCTTTCGATGAGCTAATCAGGTGAATGTAAACATTTTAATTTTTGATATGAGAAAGCAAACCTGGTATATTAGGCTGACGTTAGTCTTTTAAAAAGGGTATTTAGCAGCAGTTTGGTCAGAGATTGCGGAGTTAAGTAGCTACTTAACATAACATAAACTAATTTATCAGACATCACATAGCTCCCTCTGGAGCCACAAAAGGCTAAATACAACTTATCACATTTGCAGTAGTGCTTTACAACACCTGTAAACATTCTTGGATGTGTAAAACCAGTGGAGTTCCTATAAAAATGAAAGAATTTTTATGGAACTTAAATCCTAAATCAGTGGAGGACTCCTTTAATTTAGCTGGCAAAACATGGTCCAGATCTGGTCAGTCATGCCTGTCTACAGGAATATTTGATGTAGTGGGGAAACTATAAAATATCATCAATATCCAAATGACATTGAGGCTGGATGTGCTCTTTCAGAAGAACAGATCATGTTTCAGATATTAAAAAAAAACAAACCTAGCTGTGTTTTCACTTTTTATTTTTAAAAATAGATGATGGGTGTGGTTCAACACCGACAGAAAGCACCAGTCACAGCAGACTGAGAAACTGAGTTCCATCCTGACGGTTGACACGGCTCCACCTTTACTGAGATCCTAGCAACTCCTGAAATCGTTTACCTCCAACACTGCCTTCTGCCGTTCCATGGAGATTAATTCATGTTTGCTGTCTTTTGTAACGTTTTCTGGGAATAGAGGACAGACAATAGTTAACAGTCAGATTAGAGCTTTTAGCCATGGTATGCAACACACATAGGGGTTTTAAAAGCTATAGTAATTCTCTCACCTCGTTTCATCATGGCCATCTTCAGTTCCTGTCTGCCCGGTGTTTGTTTAGAAAGAACTGTCCTACTCTTGATTTGTTTTAGGTTCCTCTTCTTATCCTTTTCTTCCTCTTCCTCCGCCTCCTCCCCCTCCCCCTTTTTTGCCAGCTCTTTCTTCAGATTGGCCATCATTCGTGCAGCGTGGGTCGTTTTCTCATCAATTGGCAAAGCCAGGAATTTACGCATCTCCTGTGCATGGAGGAGAACAGCAGCAGGACTTGAACATGGCAATCGTCGACACACTGTGTCAAGCAAAAAGCATGCAATGTATGAAAAATAACTTATTTGTACGTACACAGCTGTAATCAAACACCAACCTCTTTTCGGTCTCCTCTTTCGTTGATACTCAGTAGAAAAATACTATTACTGTCTGGCACTTTGAATGGGCTCTGTCGAGTCTCCCTCCTCCTCCTCAAGTCTACACACAATGTAATAAAGCTGTTATGCATATAGTTTTTAACAGTTTCATTGTTTCCATTCTTTTTATTTCACAAATCTGTCACTTTGCCGCTGTACCTGGTTTATGTGATTTGGCAGCACTCTCTGAAACAACAATGCTGCCTGAAGAAATCTCTGGTCCTTCTGTTGAAAGCAC